GTGGAGATGCCTCAACACCCAGACACCCGAGGGCGGGAAGGGCTAGGGACAGGCTGGGATCTGCCCCTTTGAGCTGTGCCCAGGATCTGCCCTCAGGGACTGGGGCAGTAATGGGGGTGGCGGAGGCTGGGGCCCCAGCTCGTATGTATGCCTGCCTCCCATGGGTTGGGCAGGAGCTGGGCTGGGGTCGGTCGGTGGTCCGCGCCGCCTCACCCGCTTGTGCAGCGCGTGGAACTCGCTGTAGCGCCTCGGCACCGTGTGTCTGCGCCCGCAGCACAGCACCTCCACTCGGAACACCTGGCGGACGCGGGCGGGCGGCCCGGGTGCGCGTGAGGAACCACGCCCAACGACGCGCCCACCCTCCCGCGTTCAAAGGTACAAAGCGGCCTTGGAGCGCCGCTGCTATCCGGGGATGGACCTTGCACTCTCCGCACACATTTGGGAGAAGGGGCAGCGGACCCTCCCCTCTGCTCCGTGCAGTCCCTCACGCGCTCAGACCGCAGTCTGTGGGGCTGGCAAATCCAAGCGGCCCCGAGACCCTCGGCAGGCTATGCCCCGACGGCCCGGCCCGGGGCCCCCACTGCGCTTGGAGCGGGGAAATCGGCTGGTGCCCGCGCTCCTTCCCATCCAGTGACCCCGCTCACCATATGGCCTTTTTCAGGGCTCTGCCTGGGCTCCTGGGTCTCGGGCCCCACCGATGGGATGTGAACTGCTAGCATCTGCACCACGGCCCCCACCGCTCTTAGCGCGGAGCTCGAAACACGAAATCTCCCGGCGCAGACCACGAACCCGGCGGGGCCACTCGGCCCCGCCCCCTCAGGCTCCAGGCCCCGCCCCCAGGCGGCCCCGCCCCGGGCGCCACCAGGTCCTGCGAGGGGCCGATTAGGCAGGGCGCGGGGAGGCGGAGCGAGCGTCGCCCCCTGAGCCGAGATGGGCCACAGTGTGGATGGGGACCCTTCGGCGGAGAGCCATCCGTTTGTCAACATTCCCCGAGCGCCCACTGACGGCCAGACGCTGGAGAGCCAAAAGTTCACCTACTCTTTGATGAGTGCCTACTAAGAACTATAGGGCCTGTGGGGTGTAGGCGTGGAGGAGGTGGGCCCAGATCCCGGCCCCAACCCTAGGGGACAAACAGGGACGTTCCTTGCATGCCTCACACCCTCTCCCCTGCACCAGGCTGCCCCCTCATCTCTTTCTAGTACGTTCAACCTGGACCCTGTATGCGCTTGGGCACAATCTGCCCTTGACGTCCCCTCACTCAGCATCCCCAGGCCCCTTCATTCATTCATTTTTCCCATCCATTTATCCATTCATTCATTCGTCTTTCAGCCCTAACCTGCTTTCAGGTGTAGTTTGCAGGGAAGAATCAGTTTAGGGGCCTAGGCTCTGTTTGGGGGTCAGACTGTATAGACCTGTCACAAATTTGTGGCAAAACTGGGATAAGTCTCCCTCAGGAGAATGTATGAAATCTGAGTGGGAAGATGCCTGTTATGCCCTCAACAGAGTAGCTGCTGAGAAAATGGCCCTCCTGGGCTTGTTCTGGAGGCATAGGAGGGTTGTGCTCGCATACAGGGCAATGGATGGAGAAAAGGGACTGTGGGAGGTACTAGTCTGCTCTTGTCCACCCCTCTGGGCAGTATCTTTCTGGGTATGTGCAGTATTTAATTCAGAATGCACTCACCCCTGTGCTAGAAAGGGCCTCTGCTCCTGCCTCTCCCCACCCTACCCCTCAGCTATAGCGAGATGTCCCCTTCAGCACAGCCCTTCACTCCACTGACATCCCCCCACAGAGGCCTAGGCAGGCAGTGGAGGTGGAGGAGGCCCTGCCTCTCAGAGCCCACACTTGGCTGAGAGGCTGTGTGGTGGACAGGAGAAAGCAGAGTACTGTTTTAGGGATTGTGGTTGAGGGACCCCGACTCCCTCCCTCCCTCGTGCTAATGCAGAATGCTTTTAAGCTGGAGCAGAAACTCTCCACTTCCAGCGAGAGGATGACCCCCAAAGGGGGCAAGCAGTTCTCACCAATACTATGTCCCACCCTTTTCCCCCCCAAATTCCATCTCACAAGGGCCTCAGATACAGGAAGCTGAAACTTCCTGGAAGGGAAACAACCCACCATGAAGAGAAGTTGTGGGGGGTTTCATTTCCTCCCATGCACTCTAGGGCCCCATCATTCAGGGACTCTGCTCTCCTTGTCCTACTGTCCAGGAAGTCCTCTCCCGGGGCCCTCAGGCCTCTAAAAATTTCTTGCTCACCCAACCTAATGACTGTCTGCCCCTCTGTCTCTATTTCTACCACCCAGAAAAATGCCACTACATCTCCTAATGTCTTCCCCTGCTTCCCTCCCTCATACAAGTTCCATTTTCTACATAGTGACACAAAACTGTCATCAAGGCATCTGCCTAAAACCTTCCAAAGGCTTCCCATTGCACTTAAAACAAAACCCACTCTCCCTTCCTCAATCTAGAGCTCTAAATGACCCAGCCCAGCTTCACCTCTCATTTCCTCTCCTCTCCAGCTCATGTACCAGGCTCCAGCCAGTGACCTTCCAGTTCTTCCAACCCAAACACCTCTTTCCTGCCTCAGGGCCTTTGTACTTGCTGCTTCTTCCTGGAACACTCTCCCCTGACTTCCAATTCTTAAGCTTAAAACTCACCTCCTCAAAGACTCCCTGCTTTCCCCAACTCTGCCCCAGAATCTGAGCACCATCGGGCCAGGGACCTGGGTCTGTCCTGTCAGTGTTTGCCATCTGGTGCGAAGTACGTAGTATGCACTACAAAAACATTTGATGGAAAGACCATATGAATGAATGGGAGAGGAGGATGTGGGTAAAAGGCTGAGGAAGGCCTGCAGGGGACAACAGGAATCCTCTCCCCACTCCAGACTGCTGTCCATCTTATTATTTTGCTTTCTTCCAATTCTTAAGCTTAAAACTCACCTCCTCAAAGACTCCCTGCTTTCCCCAACTCTGCCCCAGAATCTGAGCACCATCGGGCCAGGGACCTGGGTCTGTCCTGTCAAGTGTTTGCCATCTGGTGCGAAGTACGTAGTATGCACTCCAAAAACATTTGATGGAAAGACCATATGAATGAATGGGAGAGGAGGATGTGGGTAAAAGGCTGAGGAAGGCCTGCAGGGGACAACAGGAATCCTCTCCCCACTCCAGACTGCTGTCCATCTTATTATTTTGCTTAATTTTCAGGTGTTCCTGAGAAGCCTCAAAATCAATGGATTTTCAGCACCAGCTACAGAGGGATTTGATGCAACAGACATTTAAATCATCTGGTAGTAAGCCTGCAGCTCCTAATTCCACGGCATTCCATGGTAGATGAGTGAAGATCCAAATGAAGAAAAGCAAGATCCTTGACCTGGAGATTTAAGATGTCTTAGGGTAGATAAAACAAGTCATGGAGAATATTATCCTGTGAAAATGAACACATGACAACTCCAAAGCAGTTATTACAAAGGAAAAGTTTATTTTCTGTATACTTTAAGCATTGTTCAACTCAAGTGTATATGAACACCAAGCTAATATACGATGACCGTGTAGACCTTCAAAGTGACTTCTGTTTTTAGAATGAGTTGTTTTATTACACAAATCTTTGCCTTTCCTCTATTGCTCTCCAATATGAATTTAATTTCCAAATTTCTAGTGAAAGTTGCTTTTAAGTACTGGTTGGTGATATTTTCTTGGCCAGGGTATTTCCAGATCGGAGCACAGAGCAGTGGTTCTCCGACCTTAGCAGCCATCATCAGCACCTACAAGGCCAGTTAAACCTCAGATCATAGGGCCCTCACCCTAGTTTTCTGAATTTGTAGGCCTGGTGTGGAGCCTGATAATGGACCTTTTTCACAAGTTCCTCAGTGATGCTGACGCTTCTGGTTGAGGACCAGATGGTAGACACCTGTCTCTTGACTCTCAGACCAGCCCAAGAGGGAGCCGGCCACTCACACCCCCACTGTGCTGGCGTGGAGCCTGGAGATGAGGGTCAAGGCCCAAGCAGAGGTGACGCCAACATGCCCGCTCCTGCGGGTGGCCCAGGTCAGGGGGTGGCGTGCCTTCCGCAGCCGCCCTCACACAAAAAGCCCCGTTCACTGGCTCGGGTTCTGCCGAGCCGCCAGCGCTGCCCAGGAGGTTTGGTTAACTCCATTAAGAAAACATACGGCTCCTGGGGCCTGAGGGCGCCGCTGGGCACAGAGGCTGGATTCTTCTTGCCTGGCGGGCAGCCCGAGGCCCAGCAACTGGGCTGCTGAGCAAGGCTGGGCCTAAACTTGGGCACCAAGGCTCTTTGGGACCAACTCCCTGTGCCTCAGGGCCCTTATCTGTACAAAGGAGAGCTGTGTGTGGATTAAATGACATCATGCTTCTAAACTGTTTAGGGCCTGACACACAGTAAATACATGTTAGCTATTAATATTTGGTTATACGAGTTTGCTGTTTTTGAGGGCCAAAACAGCGGGATAGTAGTAATTACTTATGGTTTTATAGATGATGCGACTGAGGTGTGAGGAAAAAACAAGTGGCCTGGGAGAGGTCTGCGTTGGGAAGGCTCCTGACAAGCCTGTCCTGCCAGAGCCCCGAAAGCAAATCTGGCTCAGGGCAGGTTACCTGCTCTTCAGGGGACAGGCAGGCTCCGACCCAGGGGCTCCAGGCAACAGCATCCCTCCCAGGAGCTACCCACCCATTGCAGACAGAGGCAGTTCAGCGGCTTCAGACACTACAGCCCAGGCTTGGAGCAGGGGGAGCTGGCAGAGGCCACCCCAGCCACCTGGCATCCAGTGCAGCACAGCTTCCAGCGAGACTTTTCTGGTGCTACAATTCCTCATACCCCCTTAGAGTGATGTCAGTGGACCAACCAATTGGTCTCCTGGTGTGCCCAGCACTGAGGTTGGAGGAACAAAGATGTGCTCAGGTACCTTCAAATCACCAGTTTATCTTGAAGAGAGCTGTGGAACCAAGACCTGAGGACAACAGGAAAGGCCACAAGGTCTGGAAAGGAGATGCCCCGCCTCCCACTCCAGCCCTGAGACTGCAGTTTCTCAGCAGGTGTTCTCTCCGTCATTAATGGTCCCCAGCTACTCACCCAAGCTGCTTTTCTGTCTTCCAGCTTCTGCTCCTGTTACCCAGCTGGCCCCATACTGTGCATGTCTGGGGAGAGAGTATCTCACAGAGGTCAGAGAAGCTTATATGCCCACAAGGTCAGGTGGGTAATTTGTCCTTAACAGGCCTACTGCGCGTATTCATTCAGGCCTTTAAGAAAACAACTTAAGAGGGTTAACGTCCAGGTTCCTCTTGCCCACCCCGTCTGGATAGGGCAGGATATGATATGGCAGCCGGGCAGGTCTAGCAGACTGGGTTCAAGTCTTAGCTCTGAGGTGTGACTGCAGGCAAGCTGCTGTAAATCTCTAAGCTTCGGTCTTTTAATGTTGATGGTGATGACCACCCAGCAGGGCCATGGCTGGACGAAATGTTTCTAAACTCTTTGCACACTGGTAAAGAGTAGGTGTGGAACACACGACAGCTCCTATTAGGCCCCAGGTGGGAAGGACTACCAGGGGCGGTCTGGACCTTACCACTTTTCCTGTGAGCTACTGATGTTGCTGAGAGGGAGACCTACTGGGTGGGCCCCTGTGGTCATTACTGCTGTCATTCAAAATGGAAGAGGAAGCTGAGAGCTCTGAAGCTAGGAGGGGACAATCATTTGGAAACAGTTGTCATATCCCCTTAGGGAAAGGTCCAATCTCGATTGGACAGGGTTTTTCTGTGGGTTTTTTCTGGACCCACACAAGGTACATACAGCCTATGAAGGCTGAGCAGCTGGCTTCCTCTAAGCAGCTGTGGAGGTGTGGGTGGGGGCAGGCTGCGGGGCAGATGCCTGTTATACCTACCAGCCTGCAGCCCCCAGGGCCTGATTTCGGGATCTCTTGAAAAACCCACTATCTGGGCCCGAAGGCTCATAAAACAATAATCACCAGAGCTAAAAGGCAGTCACTGTCCCCTTAGGCTGCCTTTGCTGCTATAGAAGGAAACAGATATGAGCAGGAACAAAAAAAATCCCTCATCTTAAGAGTTCAGAGCCCTGGAGGCTAATGAGATCATCTTGGAGATAACATTACACAGAGGGTGAGAAAGCCCAGAGGTTTAAGAGGATGAAAAAGATAGTGCCATGCCTAGAGCTATAAAGGAGGCAGGGCTCCCATTCCAAATAAAGCTTCCCAAAGAAGGTACACAGAAAAGCAGGCCTCAAAGGATGCACTGGATTGCTTTACCATAATGAAAATAGCTTTATTTAATTTTTACGATTATAAAAATACATAGAAGTTCCAAGCAACATAAAACTGTACAAAAATTATAATTTAAAATTCCATCCCTAAAGGCTATATAACCATACTTAACAATGAAATCAATATCCTTTCCATAGTTTTATATAAAGATGGGCCATACTTACATGTAATTTTTTTTTCTTAAAGAATTATTTAATTATGAAAACCTCCCAAATATAGGGAAACTGAGCCAGAAACAATTAGCCTGCACCTATAAAAATGTCTTAGATAAAATGTTGCTGTTCCCTCAAATAGAATACCAAAAAAAGAGATAGAAAAACCCCATCCCTTCTTTTTCTGGTTTGTTGTTCTGGTTTATGACTTACCAAGTTCTCCCATTTTGCAAGTATGTACAGATGCCTGACCTGTGTGAACCCCAAACCCAAAGAAAAACAGTATTTCACACAAATACCCAGTCTGGTCTGCTAGATGTTCAGTACCTACATAAATGAAAACATGAAACCTGTTGACTACACAAATTTTAATTTCTGTTTAATGCTTATTTTAAAATTTGTGTTTTAATGGACATTAAATGGGCATTTTAAAATACTTCTTACGCTCGTTGGTTGGGCCTGCTCATTGGAGTTTTCAAGGAACTGCTCTTCCCTTGGCCAGACATAATCAGGTTTTGAGTGCAAGGAATACCCTTATTGATTTTTCAACATTAACCAACTTGGATTCTCAATCTTCAGATTTGACCTCTTCAGTATTTTTCTTCTTTTTTTTGTATAATTAATCTACAATTATATGAGGAACATTGTTTACTAGATGCCCCACATCACCAAGTCCCCTCCACAAACCCCATTACATTCACTGTCCATCAGCGTAATAAGATGCTATAGAATCACTACGTATCTTCTCTGTGTTGCACAGCCCTCCTTGTGCACCCCCATATTATACATACTATTCGTAATGTCCCCTTTCTTTACCCACCCCTTATCCCTCCCTTCCCACCCATCCTCCCCAGTCCCTTTCCCTTTGGTAACTGTTAGTCCATTCTTCGGTTCTGTGTTTCTGCTGTTGTTTTGTTCCTTCAGTTTTTTCTTTGTTCTTATACTCCACAGATGAGTGAAATCATTTGGTACTTGTCTTTCTCCACCTGGCTTATTTCACTGAGTATAATACCCTCTAGCTCCATCCATGTTGTTCCAAATGGTAGGATTTGTTTTCTTCTTATGGCTGAATAATATTCCATTGTGTATAT